CTTTCGAGTGTCGAGGAAGCTTATTGTGGACTGTAGCGGATACTGAAGTTGTTTATTTAAAGTTCGAAGTAACTGTTAATGGCATTTCAAAACCTAGTAGACATGTCTTCACGAAATGTGTATGACTTTTCGATGCAGCTTATTGAAGACTGTAGCGGATAAGCTGTTTATGTAAAGTTCGAAGTGAGAGTTAATGCCGGGAGTTAATGGCATTTAAAAACCTTGCAGACATGTCTCCACGAAAGGTGTACGACTTTTCGTGCGAACAGAAAGCTGAAGTTTGGCTGCGTGTGTATACCCTCTTCTCTTCGACCGAAATCAATGTTGCTTTCTGCTGAATAAATCAAACTAGGTTTCACTTCGCTGGCCCAGATTTCTGTGCGCAAACTATGTAACGTACACCCAACGAAAGTGTTTAAATAGGATATGAGTTCAACTCCCACAAGGTTGCTTTGGTACACGAACATGTCCTCCGTTTCATTGTTTCGGAAGTGAAAATGCCTTCTAGCTGTTACCTCAAAGCCAAGGCGATTCCAAGTCGAGTTCGTAAACAAAATAATTGTCCTAGTTTTAGTACTAAAAGCACGTCGTCTCGCATACCGACGGAACAAACATGGGTGGTGTCGATTTACACGGTCAGTATAAAGGACGCACTGTGGACTGCGGACTGCTGACTGTGGACTGCGAACTGCAGACTAAGGACTACGGACTGGGTATAAAACACAGATTTATGTATAATATTACACAATACATGTATAACCGAGAACAAACCCTCTCGTATGCACGTGCTTTGCGATCAATTCATTTGTTTTCGCCCCTGCTGAAGGGAGACCAATTTCACGCCTACCTAACAGCTCAGGCACAAAATGCTGTCCCTAGAATTTTTGTTTTTTTTTAACATACCAAGCCTGCCAAAACTCGAACGCACTCTTTAATCTACGATTACTACTAGTAAATAATATCTAAGTTAACAAAAACTCGTAACCCAAGATTTGAAGAAAAACAGGAGCTCATTTAAGTATCGTAGTAACTAACCAACTCTCATAACAGAGGATGGCACATCAGTGACATTAGATAGTAAAGTGGTGCCTCGCCTAGCATTGAATTCTGTTTTCTATATATATCTCTTGAAAGGTACGTGTCTTTTAGTTAGCTTTGATCGAGAGCATGAAATATGAATAAAAGAAACAAACTATTACGAGTAAAATCTGTTTCAGAGCTACCCGACCCTTTAATTAAATCAAATTTTCACAGTTCAGAGTTCGTTTGCTTTAAAGATGATTTCCAGTCCGTACTGCGCACTCTCGAGAACTTGTTTACGGTTTTTGTTTTGTTTCCTGTAAGATATCACAAATTGTAAACATTTCGCAACTACTTACATGAAGTAAATTCAAAGTTGCATGTCAAGCACCATTATGGATGCGAAGCTAAATGCTTCGTTCTTTCTCATATCACTTGATGAAATAACTCTGTAGCTGTAAAAACCAATGAAGCTGTTAGAAAAAGAATTTGAAAGACCTCAAAGATGAGGTATATGGTTCGTAACGAATATTATTATATCTCTCAGTTAGTACGCGCGCTGTGACTGGTCAATTTAGCGGGCCGTATTCTACTGTACGGCCCGCTAAAATTTAGGACTGTTTTTGTTGTCAAAATGTTTTTTCGTGATTTATCGCCAAGTGTTCTTAACCTCTCTAGCAAAAAGGAAGTAAACTTTCTTTTACTTCTGAAATTGTGAATTACAACTTGCTAACGACTTAAGAGCTAGTCACTTAACGATTTCAAATTGACTTGTTTTGTTTTCGAGGAGCGTCAGATATTTGAAGCCGTAAATAGAAATCGTCCCCGAACCCGTCATACACACAGTAGAGATATAATATCTTACTAACCTCGTTTTCTCGGTCCGTACTGTAAATTACGGATCCTCGTTTTTCCCCTTCGAATTATGGCCCGCGCGCTTCGCGCTTGCGCCATAAATCGATGGGGAAAAAACTCGGTCGGTAACTTACAGTACAGCCCTCGAACTCAGTTAGTAAGAGGTTTACATTGATTCGCATTCCATCGAGTAAGAATTATGTTTATAAACATTAGGGGGCTGAGACTGCGCAGTACGGACTGGAAATCATTTTTAAGGTGGCCCAATAAGCTAAAACATGACGATGTTCAGGAAAAAAAGCAATGTTTTTGAAAATATAAGATTTAAAACCCTTGAACACTTGTAAAAAATCTTTTAAAACGATCTTGCTTAATTTGCCTCTTGATGAGTGTGAAATTCAAGTAAAGTACACAGTGGTATATATTTATTTTTTTTTACATAGCGACGGCACAGCAAAAATGCACGAGAGTTTGTACAAAAGCTGATAACACCTGCGCAACTCGGTAATTGGCTAATTGCGATTACTTGTGAAAAGCGTCCCCTGAATCACCATCACAGTCTCATTCATTTCCCTTATATAAAGGAATATTTCATACGAGTGCGATAATTTTTTAACGAAATAAAGCAAACATTACACTCCTCCGATATATGTAACCTGCAAACGCTTGCTGCCTTGTTAAATGCTTAATCTATAGCGTAAGAAACTTTAATTGATTTTTCTCAAATGTCTAGTTTTCTACCAACTGACCTCACGCCAGCCGCTCTACCCTGGAAAGTACTGAAGAAAAAATTCCTGAAACTTACAATGAACCAAAAAATCGTAACCTTTTAACGTCTGTCACGTGACACTAGGTAATTTGTCCACTGGGGTTGGTGCAAAATAAGGTTATTTCCAAATAAAGCCTGTAAAAAGCACTGAAAGCGGGATTTAACAGTCAAAACTTTGGTTCATTGCACAGATTGTTCCTTTTTACCCCCAAGAAACACCACCCTTCTGTCATCTTCCTACTCCACCACGTTATAATACTAGTAGTAATCAAACATTAGAGCAGTGCGTTCACGCGCGTATTTTGCATGTTTGGTCTACTTTCCGTACTTTCCGGACATTGGGAGTTCAGGCTCTCCCTGATCCGCCTCCTTGGTGCAGTGTACCCCATTACTCTAAAGTGTCCTCGTATGTAAGTTTCGCCTGCGGTTGACCCATGTCGTGCAGTGAAGTCGCGAATAATACTGTCTATTTCTTTTTGTCTATTTCACCTGTCATGGTGCTGAAGAGGCATAAATGTTCTAGGTCAAATAATCGAACTCGGCACATAATTGTCCAACGAGATAGACTATCTACCGATGGTCTACCTGAGCGTCCATTCTTTACTGTTTGACAAGGGACAGTTGTAACTTGCGATGGCCTTGAAGTACTGTTTCCAAAGGATAGGGTCTAAAAGTACTCACGAGTGACCACGAGTAAGGTTACATAATGTCAGTGATGTTATTAAAAGGTAAATTTTAAAGTCATTGTAAGGTCGTTTCATCAAATAATGACATATCCACCAAACTGGGACTATTTACTGGTGTAGTAATCAGAGATTACAGCAGTGGCTGTGCGTTCACAATTCGATTGTTCAGTTCCTTTACAAATATTGGCTGTTGAAATTATGTTCTTTGATGCTTATTACGTGACCTATTTCAAAAAAAAAAAATCCGAGAGTTTATGAAACGAAATGAGGCTCAAAACTTTTGCATGTTTTGTTTCATTGAATGACAGATAACGATCTGCACGTGAAGTTGAACTAGCAATGAATAGATTAAAAACTTGTAAAACTATAAACTTGTAACAAACTATAAACTTCCAGGAGAAGTATTTCTTTAAACTTTTTTTTCGAAACTGAACGTTCAATTTCAGAACGCCAACGCTTGTAACAAATATTTCTTGACATAGTTATTAGTCAAAGAGCGCATCGCCAAAAATTTTACTTTGCATTTGTATTTTTTTAAATTACTCGAATTTACGACGTCTTCTTCTCAAAAATGAAAAATGTTAAATTAGTAATGAATAAACCATTCTGACCACAAATCACGGCCCTTGGGTAAGCTACACAACTCGGAAGAAAGTTTGACTCCTGAACCATTTGCCGAGCTACAACTCGCAAAATTTATTTTTCAATTTATTTTCACATTTTGGGTTTCCCTTTCATTCCATGATATGCAATCTGCAATCTGCAATCTTTAGTCCACATGCCACGATTGTGAACACCTCCAAAGGAGTAGGGGAAAGACATGGAGGAGATGTACCTCTTCTAAACTGAGTCGCTAAAAATTATCGGACGTGTTCTAGTTAAACTAGTTGCGTTCACGTGGTGTAACGCAATCCTAGACCAGTGCGTTCGAAATTTTTTGGGACGACCGTGTTCACCGATTTGTCCTCCTTGTAGTTGTACTGTAGCAGGGGCAAATAACAACATGAGTGCGTGCACGCAGTCACGAGTTAAATCCGATGGCAGCGCGTATGAATAACGCAAAGCGCTAGCTACAGTTTGGCGCTGTGATTTTCGACTACAAGTAAATGAGCATGAATGTTTTGTAGCTCGGCGTTCAGAAAATGTATACATAGTGCACGCCTGAAGTTTCGAGCCTTACTTCGTTTGATAGAACCGCTCGGATTTTTCTTCGCTTTCACAGATGAAAAACGTAATATGATGAGCCTGAAAGAACATAAGCTCAACAGCCAATATTTGTAGAGAAACTGAATGGAATCATGAACGCACAGCCACTGCTGCAATCTTTGATTACTACACCAGTAAATAACTTCAGTTTGATGCATATGTCATAATCGTGATAAAATGATCTTACAATGACGTCATAATGACGTAATAATAACATTATTAACATTTTTTTGAAGTAATCTCACTCATGGTAGCCCGCGGTCACTCGTGGTCACTCGTGGTCATTCGTGGTCACTCGTGGTCACTCGTAAGTACTTTTAGACCCTATCGTTTCCAAAGTGCTGGAGGAACTTCTCAAGTAATTCAGAAAATACCTCTCCCAGATCTTTTGATTGGTTCACTTCAGTTTCGTCGGTAACTATGCTCACCAACTGATCTGATCTATTTTATTAACTAAAACTCGGTAACCCAGTTCATTGCTGCTGCTGGAAGATGAATAGCGGTCTCTGCGCAGATTCGTCGATTGATTACACCAGTACACCAATCGCATTTATATTGGATAAATATAACCCTGACATATAGTCCTAACATATTCCCCTCTACATACCACACAACTGCAAACCAACAAAATAAATTTCCAAATTTTGACCATCAATTTTGAATGCAAAAAAGCAATTTGTTCAATTAAATACACACGAATTTCTGGCTTATAACAAACTGATGGGATATCTGGACATTGTTCTGTGTGGTAAAAGCTAAACCACCCATCTTTAACTTCTGAAAGGGCAAACTGTGCCTTACCATAAGCACCTGGAGCTCGTTCAGTCCCTAGCATCTTGTCTAACTTACTGCTTACCTTTACGAACCACTGAAACCATTCTGCGTAACAAAGAGAGTCTTCCGAGACACTCATGTCTTCTATTATTGGAGGGAATGGAGGTCAAAACAAGAGGAAGAACATGTTTGTACTGTACGAATTACCACGTGGAAACTCTAGTGTGTGCTTTCAGCATATGAAGCCAAAAGATACAGACACATTCTCTTTCTGCATACGAAGCCAAAAGATACAAACACATTCTGATATGCAGTAGACAAATAACTTTTATTTGTTATGGCCGTGTGTGTCAACCTCGACGGCCATGTGGAATATACGCCGGTTATTTTCAGGCACTTGTGGGAAACATGTTTGGTTCACGATTGCCACCAGTAAATACTCTATGGTATAACTTACGAAAAATTTCACTTCAGACTAAAATTTTACATTTTTATTTACACAACGCGTGGAACACTTTACAAATAACTTTTCAAGTGTGGAAGGATTTTTCTGTCCAGTGGTTCACATACTAGTGTAATATATTTAACAGCTATTCCTCGAGCTTGTGCTGAGGAGATAACATAACGTAACACATTTAACGCTGATTTCTTTTTCCAATACCTACATTATTTGTTGTCTAGGTCTTGCTCCATTGGTTCACAATGTCTGGCTACATACTCTTCACAGAGCTTCTGAGCAGCTAGCCTCTTACCCCTCAAACGCCTCTTGGGCTTGACACCTTTAGTTTTCTGTTTCATTTCTTTGTCAGTTTGTTTGCTTTCGGAATGAGTTTCTTGATTTTCTTTCTTTGGAATGGGACTAGTGTTAAGATTGCCAACTATTGCACTTGACGACTCTGCGGAAAAAAAAATTCCATTGAATAAGCCCCAGCCACACAAGAACTCACCCGAGATCTGATTCTCACGGATTTGGTTGGATGAGGTTAAACCCAATTAAGCTGATGTCGGTAGTCAGAGGGGCCTTAATACCAGCCTCATAATTAAGGTAACCATATCCTTCCAATCAATCAAAACTTTGAAGACGTGATTTCTCGGGCACCCGTAGGAAAGTCCGAGTCAAAAAAAGTAAGCCGTTTGGTTGCCAAAACGGGGGTCATGGTAAGCGTAGAGAGTGGAAACTGGGGATGACAATGCGACAGCTTGCTTTATCGTGTGCTCGCTCTTCGTGAACAACGTAATATACAGAATGCTGTGTTTTGTGAAGAACGTTTTAGAAAGAATTACGCTTTTCGCACATACAAAGATGTCGATCGTTTTCGGAACGGGTTGGTCCACGAATTATATTGCTTGAAAGCCTGCCCGTTCTCACGAAATAACAAATGAGCCATGTACAAGTTCAAACTACGAAAACACTCACAAAAAAAACTATGACTACTGACTTAAAAACAAACAATCTGATGCTGAGACGAACACTTCAAATGTTGAAAAAAGCAAGAATCTTCATAAGCAGAACTTCGAAGATGAAGCAACTAGAATAGTAAAATATCTTCGCGTAACTCTTGTGTTAAGTATCCTGATTCTTTTACTTGTTTTTATTGTGTTCAATAAGCTTTAAATACGATTTGATATTGCGGTACGAAGCCCGAGTAAACAGCTCTTAGAGCGTCTAGTTGATCATTGCACAAAAATTTCAGGCTTGAACGGGATTCAAATCCATGACCTCTGCGATACAGGTGCAGTGCTCTACCACCTGAGCTATCAAGAATCAAGAACTGGTAGGGCACTACACCGGTATCGCAGAGGTCTTGGGTTCGAATCCCGTTCAAGCATGAAACTTTTTTCGGGCTTTAATTTCACAGCTGCTTAAGTTGCGTATATAACTGTGATGATCATGTACATGTATGCAATTCAACTATTTCTCACAAGCCCATCCTACTGCAGGTTCTATCTCTAGGTGCTGGTTTAACCATGGACTCTTGCTGAGAAATCGAAGACATTTCACAGTGTCGTGGATTCTACTGACTCCATGGTAATGGGCTGGTGTTCGATGTAGAATTGACTTCCATTGGGTTTGCAGTTGCTTTATGTGCAGTTCCTTTCGTCGACTGGTCGTGGATATTTACTTCCTTGACAACAGTTTCTAGTCTTCTTACTTCCAAGATTATACAGCATTTTTACGGCGCTTGTATTATCGGTCTTCCCAAACAACAGGTAACTCGGTTCCCGAGGGAGAGAAATTACGCTATTTGGGAACAGCAACGTGGCCGCCGAGACGTCAGGTGAAAAAGCTCTATTATTTGGGAGGAGGTCGTGTTCGTGTTTTCTTAATCTCTATTGGCTACGATCTCTGTTTCATGGGTAAAGGGATGATACAATAGACGCGTGTCTCAGACATGTCGTTTTGAACCCATCGATGGGATTCAAGCCCACTATTTGATCAACCGATTTGATCACCACCATAGGTCATGAGATTATTTTGGAACAATACAACTACTCCTTCGTTCTCCACGTTTTCTCTCAATAAAAGCCTACACATGTACACACTATTACACAATCCCAGTAACCTTCACATCCACGGTTTCCCTATATTAAATATGTGTATTTACAGTATCTACAGCAGGTAGACCTCGCCTAATAATTCTACAGTACCAGTATTGGCCAATTGAAACATGCTAAGGGTACAGTAAGTCACGATTTTGGCACTTTTTGAAGGGTTGTCAAAATTTCTCATAAGCACAAGTACTAAAATTGCAAGATCTGTACATGCAGTCCAAACAAGAGAGGTTGAAGGATAAACGATTATAGGACCTATTCCCAAGGTAATCCCTATCAAGTTATTTGGACACAGTTCTTCTGCGGGCAATATTACCAAGTGAGTGGCTTCGGCTGTCCACGTTATACCACTGGCTAATTCTAGACCCTCATAGGATTTCCGAAATGCGAGGAGATTTAAAAATAACTTTAGAAGGATTACTTTGGGAGTAACCACTACATGGCGGATTGGCTATCTTACACTTAACACAAATCGTTCCTACCTTTAAGGGAGAATTTTTTGTTGGAGTATTTTTTGAACTTAGCAACAAAAAATCCATCCATATTGTGAGTATGTGAGAAAAATCTCTTGGTTAGTTTCAAAGAAGGATGAAAATGCTTTCCCCTAAACCTAGAAAAAGACAACAGAAAAATCAATAGCACAACTAACAGCAAAACGACTATACCTTTATCACAGCGAATAACAGCACCGTTATACCACAAAATCGAACGTAACTTGAATGCAATAAATCAGGAATGCAAATGTTTGAAAATCGACCCAAACATCATACAGTCTTCTCAGAGCCAAAAAGGATAACCTTTCAACATAATTTTCTAATTTGATCATAATAAACTACTTACTGAACTAATAGTCCGCGCGCGCTAAGGTTTTACTTGGGAGCAGGTTTGGGAACATAACAGTGTGTAACATCACCCTGTAACATCACAGAACACCTTCATCTAGTTCCTTCGCCACCGCTAATCCTTTCAGGACAACCGTCTTGCAGTCGGAGCGAAAGAGTAAGGCCTTAAAGTGCAACAAAGCCCCTATATTTTTTTCCTTTAATGAAATCTAGTTTTCCCACACACTCGATTGATAAAATCCCCGCATTTCTACAGGCGTTTAAAGTTGTAATTTCTGCCGCCGCCACCGAGCATAATCAGGGTTGGGCTTCTGGTGACGTCATCGAAGGACATTGCTGAAAACACTCAAGAGACGTTTGACTGGGTTTCGAACGTTGTGAAAACATATTTGGGGTATTTGTGCTTCATATTTAATCAAAAATGGAAAAGACTTTAAAAGTGGGGGACTTAAAATGAAAGAACTGTATCATCTAGCAATACAATTCGGAGTCTAGCTACGATTAGCACGACTATGATAAATATTTTTTTCGATTTCGAAGTCGCCAGTCGAGACCTGCACGATCGACAATTTGCCGGCGCATTTGGCTTATAAAGGTTAAAACAATAGCTGAAGAGTTAACTTACAGCTACTGAAGAGTTATAAAAATGTCAATGAACACGGAAAATTCGCGGAAAAATTTTTCTTTCCGCTTCGTTATTTCCGACCAACCGTATGTATACAAAGTCAATTACTAAATTAGTGTGTACGAACATCAACATTGCGAGTTACAGAAATCTGCATTTCTCGTACTAGTAATTACAAATCGTTCGACAAGATCTTGACAAAAGGTTCAGTATGGTGTCAGTTAAATGAGTACATTCCTCCTTCACTGATCTTTTGTTTCAAACGTATTTTTTACGTACGCTAATAGCCCGAGTGTTGCGTTTCGGTCGAAAACAATCACATTCCCTTAAGTTCAGCGCTACAATCTCCGTCCGCAAAGTCGTATCTAAATGGTTTGTTTTACTTTCCTTATATACTTATCAATGCTTGATTCGTTTTAAGTTTGTAACTGAGATATATTTCGTTGCTCAAAGAACAAAACAATTGTGTATGCAGAAGGGCCTTTGAGAAACTCAGCCCCATTCTCCACTTCGTGCGAGTAGCTTGCGTGTGGTTGTATATGAAATACATAGCTAGTTCAGCAGTTCGAAGCCTCACTATAATCGCCTCGTTGTAAGAAGTACTTGTCCTTGACTATTCGTTTAGAAAACTCTCTATTTCGAGGGCAAAAAACGTGATGCGATTAATTTGTCGTACAATTACCTCACCTAAGTTTCCTTTATTTTGGTCTGGGACTCTGCGGTTCGTTTCAAAGAATAGTCAGATGGCTCCCAGCTTATCCCAAATTCGTGTCTTATCTACCTTGACGATGTCGAGCTTTGCACTAGAAGCTAGAGAAGAATATACAGGCCATGAAAATCTCTAGGTTTTTACAGCAGCGGCGAACCCGAGATCGAAGAACTGCTCGATGGCTCCCTCTTTCGGTCTGACTTCGCACAAGTCAGCACACTTCTTTCGTCTTTTTCTCGCTTCTGGAAGAGTGCCATCGAGATAAAGGTATTGAAGGAAGAGGATAGCTCTCTCCTACGCTTGCTGTACTGCTACTCCCTCCAACAACACATCTACGTCGCATTCTGCAACGATTTTGAATCACGTTATCGCATGTTCACATATGTTCTTCTCAGAAGGAAAACATTGTTAGTCCTTCGATGACGTCACAGGCCAACTTGCCCCATTTTTCGCTATTGCTCGGTCGTGGCCTCGAAAAGGCCAACCTCACGACTTTTGAAAATTCAAAGAAAATTAACGAAAACAGCTGCAAAGATAATTTTTTCGCAGTGGTGAAAAGAAAAACAAGGAGATTTACAGAAGCGAAAAAAAAAATTGGGGGGGGGGGTTAGTTGCACTTTAACAAAAATGCAAAAGCAAGGCTCTTGAGCTGAGTTACATGGTTTACAGCGACCATCCGATAAAAGAAAAAGTTTGATACGCAGAGCAACACTTAGCCCTTGATAATCTTTCATAGTAGTCGCTTGCAGCAGTGTGTACGCATATGAATAAGCCTGACTAGCTTGCACCAAGTCTATCACTAATCTGCAAATTCTATGTTCCAGATTATCGAAAAGAAGGTTGTGGTCAACGGTATCAAATGTTTTTTAAAGGTCTAAAACGACACCAATTGCTTAATCACTTAGCCTGCGAGAAGGCTCTGATTAGTGAGCCTGCCTGCAGGGTAATATTCATAAGCTTAGGGGAAATAAAATATATTTATGCCAAGAGCGGTGCCTCAAAAAGCCGTTAACGCTATCTTACTATAATTGCGTTCGTGCGCGCGGGTAGGATTCATTGAATTACAGAGACTGTGCTGGAATAAATTTGGCCACTCAAGTGGCGTTTATTTCTAACCAATTACATATAAAAATAGATGCACAATGCTTATCGAAAAAATGTTAGTTACTTGATTCAGCGAATTAAGTTGGGGCGAAAAATAGCAAAAATGCCAGAGAAAAATGGGAGCACTAAGGGCAGAGGAGGAGATCAGGGGCCGGAGGAGGGCCGATGAAATGAATTCGTTCGGTTACAAGCTGCTAACCCGATCGGCATTGGCAGAAAAAGGGGCGAGAGAAAACCGAGATCACCAATTTATATCCTGCTGGATGTGTGGTGAGTAATCAGAAAATTTTTAATCTCGACTCAACCTCTACCGCCTGTCCTCCAAAATAAGATAAGACAAGGCCCCGCCCTGACATAAAACCCATTATTGCGCTAGGTCAATAATGGGGCATTTTTTAACAATTATTGGTAATGAAACATTAATCTTACTTGGAGAATCCTTCTTGGCCAAAGTCAAGTCCGGTTGACACTAATTTTACGTGTCTTTTGCTGAGGGCATAGTCTATTACACACTCATTTTCGTCCACCTATAATACACAGTCCATGGTAAAACAAGTTAGAGTTGATTAGTATTGACCAACCACACAACCGCCTGACTGACCGACCCACTGACCCACTGACCAACCAACCAAACCACCGACCAAACAGCTGACCAACTGACTGACCAATCAACTGACCGATTGATTGACCGACTGACCGACCGATTGATTGACTGACTGATCGAACCAGCCATACACCAGTCAGAACTTGAAAGATGCGTTCGTCTCAAAGACTAACTGACAGACTGACTGACTGACCACGCAAAGGCATTTTTTCTAATATACTGCTTAAAGAGACACAGTCAGCTGGTGCACATGCGCATCAGATACCATTTCATAGCTAATTTGCATATCACAGAGATGCGATCCATACTGTGAAATGACCTTTGTTGGAGTTTTTAATATGTTTTACTATACAACTGAGAAAATTTCTTTATTGTGATTGGCAGAGAGCAGGCCAATTTATCGTTAATTTTTAAATGGACACAGTCAGCTTTGGGACCACGCTGACCTGGACACTAGTTTTCTCACTTTGAACAGAGATCACCTCAACCTAAAATCAAAGATACACGTTGAGTAAATCTAGAAATCCGCTTAAATCTTCGCAGTGTTTTGCCTGATTTTCAATTGTTTTACCAAAAAACTTGTTTTTGAGTGTGCTTTTACACATCCTATAATATTATTATATCACATTTGGTTGAAAACAGTATGGATCGCATCTCTGTGATATGCAAATTAGCTATGAAATGGTATGTAATGCGCATGTGCATCAGCTGACTGTGTCCCTTTAAAGTAGTAAACATCTCCTTCTACCTTCCATAATTTCAATGAAAATCCATTATACCTATACAAAGGTTTTCCAAGGTGATCAAAGACCTTTGTCAGTGGAGAATAAGAAATGCGGTAATTAAGGATGTCTGTTACTAAGGTACACAAATGCTGGGAATACATACCAAAACAGAGCAGGTGGAATATACAATGTATCCACCAGTGGATGATCTGGCATCTGCAGCATCAATAGCAGACAAAAGGAGTTCTTTTTGAATATGGGAGCATCGCTGAATATCCTTTTCTGTCTGTAAAAAGACAAAATGCTGTCTTAACTCACTGCAACTACGTTTTCTCACTTCGTACAAAAAAATGGCTGTTCGAGATACAATAACACGTCAACATATCAGACATTTCAGAAATAAGAAATTGGCAAACCTCTGATCTGTCAAAAAGTAAAATTAATCCATGCATTTTAGGTTTATGATGCTTTATGCTTTATGCACACGTTTGGATAAATTGATGTGTTCTTAGCCAATCAGAGAGCAGAAATTGCTGCTTGTATATTATTACAGAAGTTATTGAATTTAGACTTAATGGCAGGTGAACAATTATCCTCATAACCAAACAAAATTTGACAACAATGGACAAGTCCTAAACAATGCAAAAAGGTAGTCGTCGCGAGTAAGACCTAAATGGCCTGGCCTCTTGTTGGGTGGTCAAGTATTCTGAAGGATTATTCCATTTTAAACTCCAATAAGTTGCGAATTCTTTTACCCTTTCCTAAGAAGCTGCAAGGGATCAAATGTGGGCCCTTGATTGGTGACACAACACCACTGTTTGACAGTAATGCTTGTCCCATTGTTTAAAAGAAATGACTCAGTTAGGCAAACAGAAGGTTCTTTTTCTGTTGAGTTGTTCATGGGCACTTTAATTCAATGTATGATATGCTCTATGACTGACGTATTAATCACCCAATAACCTGCCAATTGACCTGTTACAAAACCAGAAAGACAAGCAGGCAGCCAAACAAAACCAGGGCCATGAACATGTCACATTACAGTCTCTAATACCTTGTTGATTTTGACCGACTGGTCCTTTGATATAACTCCTGTTCCACTGCACGGAGCATCAAGAAGAACACGATCAAACCCTGCCATCACCTGCCATCAAAATGTCAGATCTTTAACCATAAGGAATGGACAACAAATAAATTCATGGGGTGGGTTGGGGGTGGTGGTGGAGTGGGGGGAAGGCTACAAACTTAGCAGACTACAAATAATACAACATACCAAAACCACACTGATAAACCTACAAGGAAGATATTACATGGACGCCCGGAGACATGACACTTCTACACGACACGAGCAATTTCGTATCTGCGAGCACCCAAATAATGTTCTATTTATTATATAAACACCAACGAAATACCAAACCATTTCGCGACTTTTTATGTAACCATAGCAACGGTATCTTTTTTTTTAAGTCTGAAGATAATAAGCACTACATAGAAGTCAAAAAGTGTCAATTTCGCAACAAAGTGCCGAAAGATCGTGGACTTAAATGCATAACATTTGTAGTAAGTTCAATACTGGAGATAAATTCTCCTCAGGGTTTGGTTTATTCGAAGAATGGCATGTGTAACATCTAATTTAGGTCAGTGCATACTAAACGACACCTGCCCAGATGGCAAACGCATTCAAAAGAAGTTTAACAGAAGTTTTAGTGGTAGTAGAGACTTTATTTAACGAGGGTGGCACTCAATAGCAAATAAAAACTAACAAACACGTGGCCCTCCGAAATTACAATAACAAGATCCACTAAATATTTACAAATCTACAATTAAAAATTGCACCTTTGGAAATGCTCTGCCATCATAATTACACACCAGAGTGTTACTTATTCCTGCAGAAAGAAATAAATGATAAGATATGATAAATTTGTTCGCACAAAAAATGGTAAGAAAACTAGTTAACAACAAGTGGCAATAAATGCCACACATGATTGACTGGTACATCAGACATGTTGGACATGTTGTGCAAGTGTGGAGCTTTTTGTGTGATAAAATCTCACACAACGTATGGAATTTATGCAAGTTAACCCCCAACCGCACAGCATAATCAGCCAATGTAACTTGTTATGCATTTAAAATCTCTGCGAATTTTCACTCCCTCCATCTCCATGGCCATACAAGTGAAGTAGACAAAGGCATTGCATATTGTACCAATGTAAATTATTAATACACTGACACAAAACCCACCTAATCTGTGAATATTAGCTACCAAGGCTTTTGTTCTGTCCTTTTTAGCATCGTTTGCAACCACAAGTCCAGTGTTCTTTAGGAGTGAAGCTGCAAGGAATGTATCATTCAAATCTTTTAATCAAGAAAGCATTCTCAATGTGCTTTACACAAACAAAAGCATTATCTTCACATATATTCTCCTTTATTTATTTACATGATGCTCTCAGTAAGATCTGAGCATATTTCTTCTTCAAGACTTCACTCCCAAGTTCAAATAAGCTCAAGAAGTGGGATAATTGCTTTTACGCCTAACTCCCAAGACATCACGTTTAAATTTTCTTTTTAACAAAGCTTTTTTGGATTTTTTGCTTGTAGCAGCCTGGTCTAACTGTTGCATGCTTCAGTCCAAACCCTATTAAGCAGCCACCTACTAAGCGGCCAGATATCAAAGTCCCGAAATTATTGTCAGTAAAATACTGTAGATAAAACCCCTGTAAACCGACCACCTCTATAAAGCGGCCACGGCCACACTTTGGTCGATAGATAACCTGATGAAGTAGTCACAAGCCCCCAGGCTTGTTTGTAATTGACTAAATTGACATTTTAACTAAGTTTGGTGCTAATTCCGGACGAACCCCCATTTTCCCGAGGGTGGCCGCTTAATACGGGTTTGACTGGCTAATTTAAAATGGGGAGAGCATGCACTCATGCAACTCCACGAAAAAACCCTTTAACTTTATTGCCCTCACTGCTTCGTGCTCACGTGCGAAATCTATGGCCGCCACCAGTGTTATATTAAAAAGAGAAACCATTCCAAGTAAAGTAAATTTCTTGCAAGTCAGGTTTTCAAGCCTTTTGGCTTAAGACCTAATTTCACTAGTCGTTTATTCTGGCACTGATGTTTTCTTCAGCTGTATGTGTATACATGTATCTACAAACACTAGTTTGTCAGTGCCTACACAGCAACATTATATTCCTCTCTGGAGGAAATATCAAAGATATCACAAGTAAGTTCTTTTGTTCAACCACATTATAGCCACTTGCCACAGCAGATAAACGCATGCTATTAAAGCAATCGCCTCATAAATATCCCATGAAAAGGATCCTTGATGTCTCTTGCTCATGCAAATCTCATCCTTCTCCCGAGTCTAATCTGAAGGTTCAACAAGTTTGACCATTTCCCCTTGCTTTTCTTAAGTTCACTCTATGCCTTATCCCAAATGTTTTCACTAATAAACGTTTCCATTATTAGGCATAGAAAGACTGTTATGCATATGTGAATTTAATGCTGTGTTATTTGTTTATATGGATAACACTACCTGGTGAATGTTAGGGGCCATCAACAAATTTTCATATAAATTTAACACATTAAGTACGTTAAGTAGAGGCAGTTGACAGTTCAGATTGATACAATAGTGAGAACATTTGGTCAGAAACCTCCAGAATGACATAAATAATCGAAGGCTCTTTAAGCCAACTCGAAAATTGAACAAACAAACAATCGTATGCAGCAGTTGGTTTTTAAGAAACCATACAAAACAACATTTGAACAAGAATTCATAATATTTCAAACAACATGTTCATATTATACACGTATAAATGTTTAGAATGAACAATAAGAAATAAATTGTTCTCCCGGTAGATGTGTGACTCTTAAAATGGATATAAAAGTTCAAAAGAAATTACAAATAAAACTGATAACGTGGAAATATGTAAAAAAAAAAAAGTGTCACCTTCTGAATTTTTCATAAAATGACACTTTTTTTGCATTCTTCTTCCTTAACAGTTTTCTATTTCTTATTTTCTTTTGAAATTTTACATTGAACACATATGAAAGGGGTGGTCAAAAATATTTTCTCCAGCCAGTTTTTCATGTGTTTGTTCAGTTTTAACATTCGATTATAGTCTCAACATGACCAAGAAACAATCGACAACAAAACTGAATATAAAGTGACATGTCCTGTCTTGTATTGTAAATCCTAAGAGTGTGTAAAATGTTCTTGACAAACCAAGTGTACCCTATGGTTTTTGTCTTAATCAAACTAACATGATATCCGTAAAACGTAAGTGAGCTTAACTTTTAAATTTTTCAAATAATTTAAGTCTCATATAACATACTCATTACTGGATATGTGAAAGATACATAGGTAAATTATAGTTGAACTGAACAAAGGGTAAAATTTGCAAGCAATTTAAACGATTACTTTCGTAAGCCTGAAAAAAAATGAAGGCTACTTGATGGTGGGGATGACATATGTGAACAATGGTTAAACCATGGAATGAATGAAACAATCTCGTGGAGGTAAAAAAAGAACAAACAAACAGCATGTACATAAGGAATCTGTCTACCACACTCCTTTGGAATACTGCAATCAGAAGAACATGAACATGACAAAGTCGATGCAGCACAAAATTTATGAGAGCACTTCAGTTGATCTGTATAGTCTTCTTAATGCTCTCAAAGTATTTTTCAAAAAGCACTGTTTGATTCACAAATTCATCAATCAGTTATGCTGGAAATATTATTATTTGACTATTGCAATATACATGCATTTCACTCGTGAATGGCTTATGTTAATGAGTGACACCAACGGCTAGCAGTAATTATCTGTGATATGGTCATTTAGAATTATTTTACCTATGTATGTTGTTTTTCCACCTGGGGCTGCACACATGTCCAAAATACGCTCATTTTCCTGTGGAGCCAAAGCCATGACCGGGAGCATGGAAGAAGCCCCTTGCAACATGTAGTGCCCTGCAAGGTATTCTGGGGTGGCTCCTGGTGAGTAAATAAGTATCCACATCAGTTGTTATATAAGTTACGTAGGTAAATAGGTAAGTAGGTTAGGTGCATACATATACTTAATATGCAAATTTGTTCATGCTAATAACTTGGCACCTTTGAGTAAATCCTTTAAATTAAGCATCGATGGCCCAGTATGTTCCTCGTCAAACAGATAAAACAGAGAGCTGACACTTTTTGGTTGCGTATGCCGTAATAACACAAAAGATACATGTATCCCATCAGTTAGGGCTACTGATACTGTTTCTGTTTGTATATTTTAATGACTTGTACCCCCTCCAATGCATCTGATGACCCAACCTGCCTGACCAATTTGATAAATTTTACCAGACTTCAAAAGGATGAACACACTTAAGTAAATAACAGTTTTATTTTGTTGATTTAAGAGTTGTAACAAGTGAGTGCATGGTAGTACTATCATGATCAAGCACTTTTTCCCTCCGTTGCTCACTCCCCCAATAACGTTACTGACGTGGCATAGCGTACTTTCCACTGTTGCAAGATGTGTTTGATATTTACAGACAGGCACGTTTCAGTGTGTTGGAAATGCCAACAAACACAACCTAATCATCCAAGCAAAACACTCCTCTGCATCGAAGCTTGCATACTACCCTGGACTGCTCAACACAACATACAGTGCACTGTCCACGACAAATCCCACTTCTGGTTAGTATTGTACTCTCATTACTTACCAATTGGAACAGATGAGTCATAGACAACCAGTCCAACTTTTGACCATTTACCAATAGGATCTAAATTTACTCCACGGTTAATAAGGGCCTGCAACAATATTGAAAAGGAAAACAATCTGTACGTTGGGTACATTTACTTATACTTCACATACCAGAAACTGAAAGCAGGGGTTTCATTAAGGGCCAGCCACCTGGTTTAACCATCTAGGGGAACGTTTCTCTTATATAAAGAAGTTCAGTTCAAAATGTTTCATCCGCCTGTGAAAACCAGTTACCTTCCTGCTGAAAACATTATTGAAACCCCTGCCGAAAGGAAACGCCAAAAACGTCTTATGACTGAGGAGCTTTGAAAATGAAGGAACTTAGCATTCAGCATTTTTAGAACGATGTAAAGCTAATTTGGATAAGTACTGGCAACATTGCAGAAAAATATACATGCAATGAGTTTTAGGTAACTATGTAAAGGGTCATGGTAACCTGGGTCATCATGTTTGCACAACTATAATTACATGAACCTACACAAGCTTTTTCAGTTCAGTTTTTGGCATCTCCAAAGCCAAAAAAATGGCACATCCTGTTAAATAATTAACTATCCTGAATCAGTTCAGTTCTCAGTGCTTAAAAGACAAGTCTTCACCACTCTGGCCTTACTTTAAACTGAATTAATTCCCCCGTCATTCATTTATAACATTCACTACTGTCAAATTAGATCCACTTATTTTACCATGATCTGTGCTACTGGCTGGCATAATCTGCGCAATTTTCTCGAAAAAAAAATTGAATGGTCATGTACACATCAAAATGACTGCATCATTCAATAAAATGCAAACTCTGAAGTTAACATCCTAAATATTAAACTAAAGGTTAAATCCTAACTAAAGACCCTGTTTTTTGCTGGTGTCAAGCAATTACGATAACAACCAAAGAACGTTAAAGAAAAGAAACAAACAAAATGGTTGGAAATCTACCAATCACAACCCACAGAAGTGGTTTTTTCAACCCACTGAAGTAAACTTCTGTTAATGAGAGGGCTGCTATGATTGATGGCAGTGAAACACAAAAACGTTGATTAAACAGAGTTTGTGTGTTATTAAAAAGCACAGTAACAACTACAGCTGTATGTGTTCCGTAGGGTTCTACCCTCCCAAAGTACCTGTTGAAATACCCTCTTGTAACAAGTTACTGAAAAGGACAACCTAATGTATTGCAGCCTGGTTTATACACCTGATTGAAAATACATCGTCTGAAGAAACGTAGAAAACAGAAGCAATAGGACTTTATAGAATTATGGGAAGACTGAGAAAGCATTTGCATGATCATTAATGTTCAAGATTGTTTCCTCGTTGCATAATCACAGGTCAGCTGCCTGAAGTGGTGATTTAGAGAACCATGGAAACTGCCAAAACCTTCCTTAAGGTAGCTAAGTTAGAAAACCAAAGAAAATTTGAATGCTAAAAGCATTGAGATATGCTCGAGTATACAACAGCTACTAAAGACAAACCATAAAGAACAGACCCAGCCTGCAACTGACTGTTCATTCAGTGAAAAGCAACTCTGGTTGTCATAGCCATCATTTGACGTGCTTACGTATTATATTTCACAGACTCCCTTTGAAATATATGAGACAACAAATGGTAGGAAATTCCCGGTTAGTGCTTCAAACCACTTTTTAATGCCAACAGAAGGGCGACCCCCCCTAAAGAAACAATAAAAGGGGCCTGGGTATATCCGCAAGGCCCTGGGACCCAGATCTCGTGGTGCCATGATGCTTCGGTGGCTTTTTTCCTAGTGCTTCAAACCATTCGGTAAGTATTTTGCTTTTGCCCTACTTTTTTACAAATTCTAACCTTTTTTAGGCTCTACCTCTGTGTTTTTACACAGTAGGTTTCTTTTAGGTGATATTTGTTGCTTTTCAAGATATTTAAAACCGCTGAACATGTCCCATAGAAGACACGAGTCGCGTAAAAGGTCTCGCTCTCGGTCGCCATCTTCCCACCAAAACTCTGTTTCGTCGCCTGACGTACACCTTGAAGGGTTCCCGCCGAAATGGCGCAAGGACGAAAACGATTCCCTTCAGAAGATTCTTCAGTCGATTGAACGTCTTTTCAACTGAATAGACTTGTTTGAGTCGCGAGCAAATCAGCCAGAAACTATTACAGATACTGATGATGATGCTTTGTCGATTATGGCTGATGAAACGTCAGGCTTGGAGATTAGCGAATGTTTGGCGACCGAAGCGTCTTTTAAGACTGCTACGTCGCCCGTTGGGGCACCCGTAGAGCCTATTCAGGCACCCGTAGCGCCTACTAAGGCACCAACAGAGTCTAGTAAGACATCTGACGAAGCTGAAAACTCAACGA